CCGGGCAGCGCCTTTTTTCCTGTTTGCGTGTCCTCCCTGTTGCCCTGGAAGGCCGGGACCAAAACAGCCTCCGCCGACCAGGCGGCCAAGGCCTCGCCTTCCTGCCCGGGAGTCTGGTGGTGCCCCACCCTCCCAGCTCCCATGGGGTGGGCGATTGCCACTCACCATCCCCACTGCAGAGTCACACAGCACACCACACCACAGACGTGCACACCACATACACCACGCCACATATCACACGCCACATACCACACACGTGCACCCACCACACAGCCCCCCACACCACGCATGTATATTTCTCCCGTGACTGCAGAGCCCTTTGGAAGCTGGTTGCCGACGCCGAGCCCAGGCCCGGACGCTCCGCTGCAGCCCACAGTCCTGCGCTCTCCCTGGAACCTGTACACACCCTTAGTACCCAGGAGCAGCAAATGCGTCTCCTGATGCCGTGAGACCAGCACGTGGGAAGCAGAGCCCACCCTGGGCCAGATTCCCACGCGGATGGCTTAGGGAAAGCCTCTGGGCAAAGTCCCTCCACCCAGGGCTCGCTCTTTTCCTTCCTCGAGTCCGCCTCCCTCGTGCCGCCCAGAGTGGCCTCGGAGACCCAGTGTCGAGGAGACAGATTTCCTTGTCATAGGATGACACCTCTCATTTGGCAGAAAAGTTAAGGACCCTGACTCAGGAACCAGACGAGGCAAGGCTCCAGTCCCTGCTCTGCCACTATCCAGCCGTGTGACCTGGACAGGCCTGCCCCAGCTGTGCCCCTCAGCGTTTCGTCTGTGGGATGGGAGTGGAATGATTGGGAGTTGAACGGTGGTCCTGGCAGGTCCTTCTGTCACCCCACCCAGAGCCACACAGGGCAAGGGAGTGATGCCAGCCTTTTGGGGTGCATGGGCGGCCATCTCCTTATCAGTCTCTCTGCCTGAATGAGGCCAGGTGGGACCAGATCCCGATGCTGAGCTGGAAACCCCGAGCCACGTGGTCAGGGCTGTGGCCACCTCTGCTCCCTGGACCGCGTTTCCTATGGTCAAACCTGGGGGGAAGTCTTGAGGAAGGGCCCCCACTGTGGTCTTCTCTGCGTCCCCAAAGCAAGGGACAGGACGTGTGTCCACCTCAAGCCCAGGACAAGTGTGGGGAGATTCTGGAAGGGGCTGAGAGCCACCGAGGCAGGTAGACCAGGAGACGTGGGGCTGTTCCATAGGAAGAAGGGCTGACGGCTCATTCACCTTCAGGGCCACGTGAGTCAGCAAAGATGGCATGGGGCTGCCCAGAAGGCCCCTCCCCCAGGACAGTGTCAGCCAAGGCAGGGCACCTACTTGGGGAGGGTGCCAGGCCCTAACTCCCCAGCACAGCCTTCTCTGCACACCCCCCGTGGGTCCCTCTAAGATTTGCAGAAAGAAGCCGGGCTCGGTGGCTCAGCCTGTAATCCCGCGCCTTTGGGAGGCTGAGGTGAGTGGATTGCCTGAGCCCGTGGGTTTGAGACCCACCTGGGCAGCGAGACCTCATCTCTACAATAAATCAAAAATTAGCCGGGCGTGGTAGCGCATGCCTGTAATTCCGGCTACTTGGAAGGCTGAGGCGGAAGGATCACCGGAGCCCAGCAGGTGGAGGCTGCGGTGGCCGGGAGCAGCCACTGCACTCCAGTCTGGGTGACAGAGTGAGACTCCAACCCAAAACAAACGAAAAAAACAAAACAAAACAACAAAAAAAAGATTTGCAGAAAGGGCTCTGGCCGGATGTGGTGGCTCAAGTATCCCAGCACTTTGGAAGGTGAAGGAGGCGAGAGGATTCCCTGAGCCCATGGGTTCGAGACCAGTCTGGGCAACAGGGTGAGACCTTGTCTCTACAATAAATAAAAAAATGAGCTGGGCGCGGTGGTGCACGCCTGTGGTTCCAGCTACTCAGAAGGCTGAGGTGCGGAAGGATTGCCTGACCAGCAAGTTGAGGCTGCGATGGCCGTGAGCATGCCACTGTACTTCAGCCTGGGTGACAGAGTGAGACCTTGACTCAAAAAAGAAAGAAAGGGCTCTGAGTGGCCAAGGTGTGGCCCCTCTTCCCCCCAGCCAGTGTCTGAGCAGAAGAGGGTGGAGAGGCTTGGGTGGGGGGCACTGACTGTCCTTCTGTATTTATGGGTTCCCCATGATCGAAACCCTTCACTCAGAAACCACTGGGGCTCTGGACCTGGAAGGAACAGGGCCTGCCCGAGGAGGGCATCGGCCTGTGCAGAGAGGGGTGGCAGCAGGGAGACCAGCGGAGGCTGTACAGGCTGAGAGAAATGGTGTTGATTTTTTTTTGAGTTGGAGTCTCACTCCGTCACCCAGGCTGGAGGGCAGTGGCACGCTGGACTCAGGCGATTCTTCTGCCACAGCCTTCCAAGTAGCTGGAACTACAAGCACATGCCACCACGCCCAGCTTGTTTTTTGATTTATTGTAGAGACGAGGCCTCACCAAGTTGCCCAGGCTGGTCTCCAACTCCCGGGACTCAGGCAGTCCTCTCGCCTCGACTTCCCAAAGGCTGCCCCCAGATGGCCTCCAGGTCATCACCTGAGGGCCAGGCCCCCCCCAGGCAGGAGGAGTCCCCGTGTGGGTTAAAGTCATCCAAAGAGGCGGCTGCTTCCTGGCAAAGCTGCAGAGATTTAAACAAAAGAGGCAACTTCCCTCCCCATCTGGCCTCGGTCCCTGGCAGTGAGTGGGCTCTTTGGGGCTGTCGGTCTGACCTTCGTGCTCTTGCCAGACGCTGTTCTTCCTCCATTGTTGTCACATCCATAGCGGCGCATTCAGCGTTCGGTGCTTACACGCTGTGACTGTGTGACTGCCCTCCACAGCCGGGCCCCATGTGCATGGTGATCTCTCCTCCAAAGGGCTTTTAAGATCAGCTTTATGAGCCGGGCTCGGTGGCTCAGCCTGTAATCCCCCGCCTTTGGGAGGCTGAGGTGAGTG